AGTGGTAGATGAAGTTTGCATAGTATGTTATCTCCAGGGGACTCGGTGGATCACTGTGATACCATGTAACTGGTTGGGATTTTGATATAAAAAAGCTGGGTCACCAGTCTCAAGGACCATTCCATCAGTCCCAGGAATCGTTCTTCCTCTGGGATCAAATGGGTAAGCTTATAGACCAGTAAAACAATGTTTTCCTTTTCAAAACCTTTCAACTGCCTGACCTGGCTAGCTTAGTGAGTGGACTATTATACATATAGTCTGATTCTGAGAGCCCTCTCTTCTGTTTCCACAAAGCACTGAATCTAAACCGGGTAAGAAACATCCACTGTGGTACTTAGTGCTGTGCGATATCTCTAAACCCTGCCGAATGCCTCACAGTGGGCTACGATGGAAGAACCAATGCTATTCTTTGCCCAGAATGGGTTCACTTCTTTCCCTGCCCTTGTTGAACAGAAGAGCTTCTTTAAAACTTTTTAAAAAGCAATATAAAAAATTGATTTTAGAGAGAGGAAGGGAGAGAGAGAGAGAGAGGCAGACAGACATTGACCAGTTGCCTCCTGCACACACCCTCACTGGCTGGGGGATGGAACCAGCAACCTGGGTATGTGCCCTGACTGGGAATGGAACCTGCCACCTTGTGGTGTACAGGACGATGCTCCAACAAACTGAGCCATACCGGCCAGGGGGCTACTATCTCTTCTTTAGACATAAAACAAATGATAGTTATTTTTCAAACAAAATCTCATAACTAAACACCATCCATTGAATGTAGTGCTAATCATATAAGTCATGTTATTCCCCAGTTAGGGCAATTACTGGTGGCTCACAACGACTTCTTCTTCCTTGGGCCCAGCCCCAGACACACAGGGGGATGTTTGTACTAACATAAAAGTAGCTGCAGGGCCCTAACTCTATCTAATTTTCTGTAAGTCATCACCCGTCTGAGATTGTTGCCCATGATATCTTGGTCAAGGCCGTCTTTGGTGCTTCATTTTATCTCTCAGTCTAGAGGGGCACCCCTTATGATCTGCCTTGCCCTTTACTATGTGGGTGGCCAGGCATGTTCCTGGATTGGAGGCTGTAACTGAGAAACACTGTGTGGCTTAAGGTGGAGGGCCACAGTGGCACTGGTGTGTCCTCAGTGATTTGTAAGAATGTCGGCCCAAGTTCAGGTGGGGCCTCCCTGATCAGAGCCCATTGAATTCCTCAGATTACAGAAGAGGTTCAATGCAGTCTATTCAGTAACTGCTTCTAGGCTTTTGCCTTTGGAGTGTTCCAGGACATTTTTTCAGGAGGAGCCCAGCTCCCACATCCTGGCTCCAGCAGCAATCAGATACTCCAAAGTTCTGGGCTCCTGCCAACCTCGGTCTCATCTCAGGTGCATGGTGTTCTGACGTGCCCAGTGTGCCTCGGCTAAAATAGCCATCCACAGTATGCTGATTGACCTACTTAGTTGGTTAAAATTGTATTTTTTTCTGCCCCTCACTTCCTGTTGCCCCAAACTTATAGCTCTTTTTTTGTTAATTTTCACCCAAGGATATTTTCCCATGGATTTTTAGATAGAGTGGACAGGAGGGAGGGAGAGAGAGAGAGAGAGAAACATCGATGTGAGAAAGACACACCAACTGGTTTTCTTCTACACGACCCCCACTGGGGCCGGGGAGCAAATCTGAAACCCTGGTATGTGCCCTTGATCGGGAATCGAACCCGCAACCCTTTGATCCTCGGGCCAATGCTCTAACTGCTGAGCCAAACCAGCCAGGGCCTTATAGCTCTTTTAATTGCACAGAGCTCCCTCATTGTGTGGAAGGCCTGTACCCTTTCCGTAGACAGGATGTTGATGACAAAGGGTGGAAGGTAGTGCCTGTCCACTGAGGCTCATTCCCTGCTAAAGGTAGTTCTGTTGTGCTGCACGTTGTTACTTTCGATTCAAAGGTTAAATCCCTGGAGATGCCCCAGTTTGTCTGGCAGCTGAAAGTGAGGCTCAGGGTCAGGGATGTTTTTTGTACAATTAACTCACATATTTTTTTCCCCATTTAAGAGCCAAAGACTATTAGGCTGTGTTGCTATGTAGGACCAAGGGTTCCAGCTTACAAAACAACCCAGGAACCCCTGGTGACTTTCTCTATTGGCATCTGGTAGTAAGCCAGCAATTGTCTTTGAAAAACAGTGTACTTCTCAGCTGCCAGAGCATTGCCTTAGTCCAACATCCTAAATACTGTTATATTTTTTCTTCTAGGATCTGCCATTTGACTCCCCTCCCCAGATTGTCTTGGCAGGAGAGGCAAAAAGCACAGAGAAGCCCTGGCTGATTTGGCTCAGCAGTTAGAGCGTCGGCCTGTGGTCCGGAGAGACCCGGGTTCGGTTCCCTCTAAGGGCATGTACCTCGGTTGCAGTTTGTCCCTGGCCCTGGTTGGGTTGTGCGGGTGGCAGCCACTCGATGTGTCCCTTTCACGTCGATGTTTCTCTCTCTCTCTCTCTCTCTCTCTCTCTCTTCCTCTCTCTCCCTCCTGCTCTATCTGAACAAAAAATGAAAAAATGTCCCCAAGTGAGGATTGAAAAAAAAAGCACAGAGAACGCAAGTCTTATCTTTCTTTCTAATTTATAGGGCCCAAGGGGTAGAGCTGACTAGACTGGCTTGTACTTTGTCCAGGGCCAATCACAGAGGCTCCCCTGAACTCATTAAAAGCACGTGGCCTTTTGGATAACCCAAGCTATGGAGTGCGTAAGAACTCCAAGGGGGAGATATGCTGACTCTAAAACCCCTACACTCCCATGAGCGGCTGTGGGAGCTATTACACGTGGTTCACCACCCACCACAGGGTCAAGTACTGCTACTCCAGGAAAGCTCTGTCTGCTGGATCTCTCGTGGCTGGTCCCCAGACCTGAGGGCACATGCTCATCCCCACTCAAGTATGATGTTAAGAACTGTAGTGCCTCAGACTCTTTAGTTTCAGGGGTTCTTTGCAGCATCTACAGGGCACACCAGATCACTGAGAAAAGAACAAAGGAAACAAGGATGCATTATGACACCATCTAAGGCACTGGAACCAGATCTGTTCCTTTTCCTTTTCCCTCCCCTCACTTAAACGCAAGGCAGCAACCCAACTGTTATTGATACAGTACAGGCAGAGACAGAGGCAGATATATTCAGGCAGGTCCAGCCCTGTAAAAGGTGCAGTGGATTTTTTTTCCCCAGTAAAGCCAATCCTTCATCCTATGCTATGTTCTGGAAAGGGGTTGTCCCAGTGTATAAAAGGAACCCTTGACAAGCGATTTTTTTTTTTATGGAATGTTCATGTAACCCAGTGGAAGGCAAGTGAAAAAATGCTCAGGGGGTTTCTGAGAAATAAATGTCCTAAATTTTAAGATGGCCCCTTCTTTTCTCTTGATCTTGTGCAGAGATATGAGGCCTGGAACTGCTGTAGTCACCTTGCTCCCAGCCAGGGACACATTGTAGAGAATTAGATTTGGAGCTGTGACCGACCCACATTCAATCATCACCCTACAATGGTCTTTTTCAATTATGTTTGGATTGAATTTCCTGTTTCTAAGAACTGTTTGAATTGGGTTTTCTGTTCCCTCGGTTTGAAAGCATTTTAACTAGCACATCTGACGGGTGTCTCTGGGTAAACACAAACCTACTGGAAGAGACGGTGATTCCCGTCTGGCTACAGAGGGAGTCCATTGTCTTGTGTTAAGCAGAGAGGTCAGGTTCCACAATCTTGTATTTGCAGATGTTGGTCATCAACTTGATACCAATTTCTGACAATAGTTGCCCATCCTCTGATGTACTTCTGTGTAAGTCAGATCTCGGGGCCTTCCAGACCCATTTACCTATCCTGAGTGACACAGTTTCTTTCACAGTTGGTATCAAGTGGCTCTCACTGACTGGGTGCACAGAGAGAGCGTTGGTATCGATGGACTGCCTGGACTTGGAAGCCTACTCTTGGTTTACCAAGTATTGCTAATGATGAGGCATGGGATTTTCCACACTGAAGACATTACAAATTCATGACCCACATCATCAACTGGATCCTCTATGCTCTCTTCCCTGCTACAGTAGCAATTTCAAATCTCCTTCATTTTCAGCAGATATCCCACGTATTTCCAGAAAAAAGTAAAAACAAAGCCAAAACAAATTTAAAAAACATCAGGCAGCAGCTACAACCTACCTACGTGAAAACAAAGACATACCAGCACCTACTCTAATCCTCATAAGGGTTTCAAAGGAAGTGGCGTCCTGCCTGCCCTCCATGGTTGGTGTGCAGGCGCTAGGCACCCTGGGCTTTACCCGTGAAACCCATGGGAAGGGAGGAAAGAGAAATAGAAGCAGAACAGGGTAATGCTACTAGAACTAGAGAAGCAGGAAATGAGGCCTGCAGCTAAACCCTGGCGGTGACTGTTCAGAACATACCAGAGGATTCCCCGATTGCGGTTCCCATTGCTCAGCCTGCCCAGCCATAAAGCCAGGCCTGGGGCCCACAGTCTTAGGTCTGTAGCGGAGCTTTAGGAACGTCCAAGAACCTCCCTGCCTATGGCACCCAGCAAGGGGGCGCAAATACAACCCTCAGAGGCGTGGTAGGTAGGCCGAAGGCGGGCTGCTGCAGAGGCCCCTCTGGTAATCCTTTTGCTGCGCTAACACAAATGCTGTCGTTTCTCTGCCCACTTGATGCAGACAATAACATTTTCCATGGCTCACTATTTCTGGTGGAGAGTGTGTTCCAGAAAGAGGCACACCAGGGAATTGGGGCCGAGAAGGAGAACTCAAACTCAGAGTGAGAGAGTTTGGTGTGGGGCTGATACTGGGCCAACCTGCTTCCCCGCGGGTCCCCGGGGCGGGGCAGCAGAAAGGGGAAAACTTCCTAAGGACCCCGCCGCTGACATCCCGCCCCCCGCCCTCCCTCTAGCCGCCCGAGAAGGCCAACTCCGCCTGCCTGAGTCACTGCTGGAGCTGGGGAGGAGCCGGGGAAAGGCGGCCCCAGCCCAGAGCTCAGACGGCGGTCGCAGGGAGAGCAGGCCTGGGATCATGGGGGAGAGCGCACTGGAGCCGGGCCCTGCGCCTGGAGCGCTGCCTGAGGGCCCTGTGCACGCCGTGACGGTGGTGACCCTGCTAGAGAAGCTGGCCACTATGCTGGAGACGCTGAGGGAGCGGCAGGGGGTTCTGGCGCAGAGGCAGGGCGGCCTGGCCGGCTCTGTGAGCCGAATCCAGAGCGGCCTGGGCGCGCTGAGCCGCAGCCACGACACCACGAGCAACACGCTGATGCAGCTGCTGGCCAAGGCGGAGCGCGTGGGTTCGCACGCAGATGCTGCCCAGGAGCGCGCTGTGCGCCGTGCCGCCCAGGTGCAGCGGCTGGAGGCCAACCACGGGCTGCTGGTGGCGCGCGGGAAGCTACACGTCCTGCTCTTCAAGGTCAGTGACCTCAGGCTTCCCCCAATCTTGGGCCTTTTCCTGCCTCTGGGCCACCATCTGGGGACTCCCTCCTTCCACCCGCCCACCACACCCACATTCCTGACCCTGCCGGGTGGAACAGGCTTCCAGAGCAGCACCCGCTCCCCACACCCAGCCCATCCCTCCCTCCCTCCCTCCCTCCCTCCCACCCACGCCTGAACCCAGTCTAGCCAATCAAAGCCCGGCCAGCTCCAGCTCAGGACGCGCCCACAGAATCTGCTCCAAGTCTCAGCCTATCCCTGAAAGAAAGTAACGGTGGTGGAAGTGCATCCCGCCACAGTGCACCGCCCCTCCTCCAGTTCTTTCCCCTTGGCCCCCATCCTGGTCTCACGGTCCTAAGCGGGTGCCACCTAGTTTACAAACTTCTGCAGTTCGTCCCGCCCCTGACTTCCCACGTCTGCCATTTCTTTCCCACTCCAGCTGCGGAGGATAAAGGTGGGGCGGGTTCCCCTCTTATAATTCGGGAGTGAGGCTCAGGCTGATGCGGGGTAAGGGGCTGCCAGGGTCAGTGCTGTGTCCATCCCATGCAGGAGGAGGCCGAAATCCCAGCCAGAGCCTTCCTGAAGGCTCCGGAACCCTTAGGCCCGGTGGACCAGTCTGAGCCCAGCCCAGAGCAGCTGGAGGGTGAAGTTGGGGAGAGTTCGGATGAGGAGCCGGTGGAGTCCAGGGCGCGGCGGCTGCGGCGCACTGGGTTAGAGAAGGTACAGAGCCTGCGAAGGGCCCTTTCGGGCCGAAAAGGTCCTGCAGCGCCAACGCCCACCCCTGTCAAGCCACCTCGCCTTGGGCCTGGCCGGAGCGCTAATGGCCAACCAGAAGAGACCCGGCCTGCGCTGGAGTCCAAGCTGGAGCCAGAACCTCTGCAGGACGCCGAGGAAGATCCCGGGAGACCTGGGGCTGCCGACTTGGCTGTGCTCCAAATAGAAAGTGCGGCCTGATGACTGGTGCTGACTGCCTCCCCTGTGCCCATGCCAAGTCCCAAAATAAATCTTCCTCTCAGAATGCAGCATTCACGCCCAAATAAGGAGTGAATCCTGCATCCACAGCCCAGCTCTGGCCCTCCCTCCCGGGCTCCTTCAGCCCATCACCCTGTGTCCTTGGAGCAGCCATTCACACCTGCTTGTACTCACCATCAATAAAAGTGATGTTACCTAATCCCGACTCCACTGGAAGGGGTAGGGGGAAAGGTGGTGCAACGAGTAAGACAAATGTTGGAACCAGGAATGTGGCTTCAGTTTCAAACAGATCATTGTATGATTTCTCTAGTTTCCACTGAATCCTGGGCTCTACTCCAGTGGCTCGTAGACATATTCTGCTGGCAGCTTGCTCCTTCAGGGCTTTCTGCTGGGGACATGTCCAGCACAGCCGCTGCTGCAGCTGCTCGGTAAACATTAACCTGTGGTTTTCCTCCTCGTCTCTTCTTCCTCTGCCACCTCCTTAAAGTTGGGTTTCCCAGGATGCTCTTCTTAGTCCTCCTCTCATTCTGAGTACCCCTGGGTGAACATTCACCTCTACCTGCCACATACACCCCAGACCAGTGCCTTGAGCTGCTTTTGAAAAGTACAGCAAATTCAATGTGTTCAGGCTGTCTTCTACCTTCTAATTAGGTTCAATGTCAATTCTACAGCTATTTATTGAGCACTTACTATATATTATTCAAAATTGCTCCCCTCTTGTGTTTTCTTTACCAGTGAATAGTGCCATCATCTACACAGGAATCTGGCGGTCCTCATAGACTCTTCCCTCTCACACTCTCCTAACACATGAAAACAGTTATCCTGTTACTTAGACCTCTGCAATCTGTCCACTTTTCTGTTTTTTTTTTTTATCCTAACCCAAGGACAATTTTTTATTTTTTTTTTCAGATAGAGTGGGAGGGAGGGAGAGAGAGAGAGAGAGAGAGAGAGAGAGAGAGAGAGAGAGAAATCAACGTGAAAGGGACACATCGAGTGGCTGCCACCCACACGACCCAACGAGGGCCGGGGACAAACTGCAACCAAGGTATATACCCTTAGCGGGAACCAAACCCAGGGCTCTCTGGACTGCAGGCCAACGCTCTAACCACTGAGCCAAACGGGCCAGGGCTATCCACTTTTCTTAATACGCATGTTCTGTCTCAGGCCTTATCTTTCACCTGACATTCACATTATTAGAACTGCCCATCTGATCCCATCACCCTCCTGATTTAGACCCTTCAGTGGCTCCCCATTACCTTAGAATAAAGTCCAAGCTCTTTAACATTACCCTCAATGTCCTTTTTTTAAATTATTGATTTAAAAATTTTTTTAATTGATTAAAAAATTTTTTTTTAGAAAGGAAAGGAGAGAGAGATAGAAACAGCAATGAAAGAGAACATTGATTGGCTGCCTTCTGCATGTCCCCCCACTGGGGATTTGGCCCACAAACTGTGCATGTGTCCTGACCGGGAATCGAACCTGAGACCTCTTGCTGCGTGCGTCAATACTCAACCACTGAGCCACTATGATCCAGGCTTTATGCTAGAACTTGTGAAAACCAAGAGGACAGTCCTTTCTGAGGCCTTCAAGGACCTCAGAGTTTATCGAGATACAAACATATAATTATGATGAATGATGTAAGTGCAGTGATAATTAGGCACAAGGTATTTTTTTATTTTTATTAATACTCACCTGAGGCTATTTTTCTTATTGATTTTTTAGAGAGAATGAGAAAGAGGTTTCAGGAGAGAGAGAGAAACATCAATGTGTCTGACTGACTGCCTCTTGCATGTGACCTGGCCGGGATGGAGATTAAACCAGCAACCCAGGTACGTGCCCTTGACCTGGAATCGAACACAGGACCCTTCGGTGTGGGGGTCAACACTCTAAGCACAGAGCCAAGCAGGCCAGGGGTAGACACAAGTTCTTTTGAGAGGAAAGAGACACAAACTAATCCGAAGGACAAGGGGAGGATGTTTAAGGAAGTACTCTTGAAAAGATTGTGGGATGGAAAACAGGAATGGTGAGGGGCAGTAGAGTTCAGTGGTTAATAATTTAGTTTCTCAGTACCCTCCTTTATAAAATGGGATAATGGTCGCCCCTGCTGGGCTGATGTGAGCATTACATGGCATAAATGCCTAGCACAGTGCCTGGAACTTAGTTAATTTTAGCTATAGAATTCATTCAGCTGCTCATTCCACAAATATTACTGAACTCCAAGTACCTGCCAGACATTATTTTAAGAGCTGGGGATATAGTAGCACGTAAGGAAGACAAGATCCCTGCCTTGGTGAACCTAGTAGGGATAGACAGGCAATAAACAAGTAAATGTCTAAACTAGATAAAAACAAGAAAACATATGAACTAGAGGGGCCTTCTGGATATGGGCTCTGAAGACAACAGGAAGGGTACAGGTAGCAACTGGGACGGGGTGGACTTTAGATGAGAACTCTGGGGATTTAAAATCGCACCATCTCGGTGTCTCCCCCTTGGGACGTCTCTGTTGCTATTGCTCCTTATGACCACATGATGCCACAGTTGGGGAACCAATGTCCTGGTTGATGCCTCATCTAACAACCCTGGGGCTGCCTGTCCAGCTGTGTGCCGAACCGGAGGTCCTTCCATGGAGGGCTGCTCTTCAGCAGCTCTGGTCCCTCTGGGGAAGTTCAGGGTTCCTCCAGCAGGCTTCCAAGTCTTAGTACAAAGACTATCAGCTTCCTAGCTGCCACTCCTTTCAAGGTTCTGCCATCACAGAGGGGCTGGTCCGGGCAGGCTCAGTTCTCTATCCCCAAGGAAAAATAAAATGTTGTTTTTCCAAATCCTTGGAAATCCAGCCAATTACTCTTTTTGACCCACATACAAAATTAAGAGCCCAGCTGCACATTTCTTACATAAAATGTCTTGATAGTTCATTGGGAATAACATGAAGGCTCAGAGAGCGCAGACTCTGACTCCTGGGAACCTAAAGGCTTGGCTAAGTTTGGTAGGAGGGATGATACTTTGTATTTCTTCTTAATATTTCTACAGCAGCAAATAATAAAAATCACACTGAAAAAGTAACTTATTTTTTAAATAGTTGTCTTTGTTACATTATACTCTATCATCACTGCTATGGTTATTATTAATATGATTGTAACCCAGAAGGAGTGGAGATACTGAGTCAGAGTACCAACCTGTCATCTAGATACGTGGCATTTATATGGCTGCTTTAATCAGGGGAGGCACACTGGTGGATTATCAATATGCAGAGATTGGTTCTCAGTTCCTCAGACCAGATGCACAGATTTATTATGCCTTCCAGCATGATTATGCTGCGAGGGACTGATCTGCAATTACCACACTCAGAAAACATGGATTAACTTGAGTGCTGGATTCATTAATTTCTGTAAGAAGTCTAACTGCTAAGTGACCTAGAATAGTCTCGTTAGCTAGTCAGAACGTATTCAATTCTGCAACATGGCAAGCCAAAGCAAGGTCTTAAAATGTACAGAAATACAGACTGAGGAACCTCAGAGGGAAGGGGGCAGAGGGTGGGGGGAAGGAAGAGAAAAACCAAAGAACTTATATGCATAACCAATAGACACAAACAATAGTGGGGGTGAAGGCAGAGGATGAGCAGGAGGGAGGAGGAGGGGGGTCAAGGGGGAAAAAGGGGACATCTGTAATATTTTCAACAATAAAGATACATTTTTAAAAAGTGTAAGGAAGTAGAATAATAGAAATGAGATAAAGACAATGGGCAGGGTAATCCGATCTGTATGCCCATTTTCTGCTGTGATATTCCTCCTACATGAGTAAGGATATATACATTCCTGATGGAAAATTTCTTCCCCTGTTAAATGCTGGAGGTATATATATATATATATATATATATTTTTTTTTTTTTTTTTTTTTTTCTTCTCTCTTTACTGATTTTAGAGAGAGTGGAAGGGAGAGGGAGAGATAGAAACATTGATGAGAAAGAACTTCAATTGGCCACCTTATGTATGCCCTCCACTGGGAGTTTGGCTCACACCCTGGACATGTGCCCTGACTGGGAATCAAACCTGTGACCTCTTGGTGCATGGGTCGATGCTCAACTACTGAGCCATACTGGCCGGGCTGTAACTTAGTTTTCGATTAAAGTTATTTTTGTGATGAGTGTTTTCTATTAGTTTTGTAAATAGGAAAAAGTAAATATATAAAAATGTTAAGCAACAATCAATATAAATCCAAGTAAATAAAAACTGTCAGAAATGAGAATGGGATTTGTGAATGCAGTGCAGGAAGATTTAGGGGATTCTGTGCTGACACCTGTAAAACCTAAAGGAGAGAAAAGCGACTCGATTTAGTAAGAATGTCTCATTTGATTTATAGACAATGGTGTCCTGAGACATGAATTTATTTTTTCTGCATCCAAATCAGGTGCTTTCAGATTGTGCTGAGAAGAAAAAAAAAAAAAAAGTGCAGAAGACAGATCATCTTTGGTTTGAGCCCAGATCTCTGCTGGCAGCCATTCCTCTCTTGACAAAGCTTTAATAATGCAGTATTTCTACATTCCAGCTGAGCAGACTCCGCTTCAGCTTGTCAGCACACATTGGAAAATAAAACCGCAGGCATCGAGTTTCTTATAGGAAGCTAAGACTAAATAAAGAGGTGACAGGGTGGACGTGGTGAGTGGTGGTGGCGTGAATACTAAGCACTGGCTGTCAAGGCACAAATAATTTTGATGCACAGAGTATCTCCAAACCCGGGATATGACTGTGAAATAGAATCCAAAGACAGGCATCTCCACTGGGGACAACTAGGACAAGATGGCCACACCCTATATAATATACTCTGTACACATTTAAAGCAGCATCTCAAAAAGTTAGCATGCCATCTTCTGCCTCATTTCCTTTTCATCCCCCTTCCATTGTATTAAATACACAGCGGGCCATAAGACCGAGGCGGCTGTCATGCCCTGGTGGTCTGAGTAAGCAACCCAAAATCTAAGCCTGTGAATGCCTCAAGGTTGTAAAATTGAAGCCTAAGGACCACCAATCACAAACAGCCAATTAAGCTTTAACCTATAGTCAATCAATAATTTCCTTACTTTGCTTCCACACTTTCTCTGTATGTCTGTCTTATGGTTTCTGCCCGATGAGCGCCTCCAACCACTTCGTATTTGTCACTGCCCATTTGGAATGGATAAATATGCAAATAAACTTTAATTTTTTA